GCGTGTGCATATGCGTGGGCACCTACACGTACTCACATTCGGAGCCTTAATACCTTGTTGGTGCCATCTCCACTGTAACTGATCCCTTTCAAGTTTTGTATCCGTTTGTCTCTCCTTCCCCAGCCTGGGGGTGTGTCTGCTCCATGCCTTGAAATAAATGGAAATACATGTATGCTCTCTTCTTGGGAGTCCTTGAGAACAACAAAGAACTTCTGGGGAGATGGAAAAACCAGTGTAATAGGGCTGTCGAGCTGGAGGTACCAAGTGAGGGGTTCAGAAGGCGGGGTGCAGGTTCGCAGTGTGAAGTGAGAACATGGCCCACCTGGATGGAGCCCTTGGGAGCTGGAGTCTCACCCATCAGCCAGCGAGCAACTGCGGACATGGGAAGGATGCTGCCTGCCAAGGCATTCTGGGAAGCTACCAGGACTGGGGAAGTGAGGGAAGGGATCAGGACCCATTTCTTTAAGTCACTATAAAGAAGCTCAGACTGGGCAGCCTGCTGTGGCCAGCATGGCCTTGCTGAAATGATTAAGCTTCTGTATGCTCAGATAGCTAAGAGGCATCCCCAGTAGCCCCAGGCATCTCTGAGTCCATTTTAAAAACCTGTAAAGACACTCCAGGAAATAGGTAACTTCGTCATCCTACGCCTTCAATTTGGTCTGGCAAAGTGTTGTGGAGGCGGGCCAGCCCAGCCCGAGGCACAGTGGGCAGAGCAATTTACACACCCAACCAGGAGGATAAAAAAGCCCATCTGCTAGCAGCAGGGTACAGCTCCTTTTTACATGCCCAGGACGGTGTCTCTCCACTCTGCTGTGGCAGTCCTGCTGTTAGCACAGGTAGGTGACCTAGACACCAAGGCTGAAGCTAGCAGAAAGGATCAGGGATGGAACTCATGGAGAGCACTGGGAGGACACTGAATGGAGCCCCTGGACCCCAGAAATACTGGGCATTTGCTGCCACGGGAGGAGGAGAAAGGTGTCGGCCGGAAGAGAACATAGAAGCCGCAGGGTGCTGAAGTTATGATCATCTGCTGGAGCGGGTGCTGAAGTATGATCATCTGCTGGAGCGCTCCTGTGGGGCTGGGCTCGGGTCAGGTGGGGCTGAGGTAGGAACAGGACCGAGTACTGAGGGCTGGAGGTAGGTAAGATGCTGCTACCGTGTTGCTTCGGGTGTGGCGGTGCACACCTTTCGTCCCAGGGCTGGGGTCCGGAGGCAGAGGCAAGCTGACCTCTGAGTTCAAAGCCAGCCTGATCTAACTAGACAGCCAGAGCAACAAGTATTCTAACCCACCTCTCAGCCCCCAGCACTCACTTAACTTACAGGCGCAGTTCCGAAGGGCTCTTGCAAAAGAGCCACATTTCTTACCCACATTCCCCCGGCTCTGAGTCAGTGCCTGGATTCAACCCAGCTTGACAGAGCCCAGCACCCACCACAGGAGCATGCTCTGGCAGAGGACCAGGGTTCAGGACTTCCTGCATGTCTGCTCTTCCTGGGTAGAAGTCTCTTTAAGCAAGAATCTTACCCAAGAAATCGTGTGCAGAGAACCCATTCTTATGGGCAGCAGGAGGCAACAGGCAATGGGAACTGGAGATTTCCTGGGCGGTAACTGGGACAGTGGCGGAGGCGCTGTGGTGACGTCACAAATGAGTAAACTTCAATCCTTGGCTTTGTCCCAGGGAGGAGGGAAGGTTGGGCTGGGAGGAGGGGCTGAAGGTCAGGAAACCACAAGCCTGAGCCCCCCCAAAAGATGTGAAAAGATTGAGTAACACCCCATCCAGTCTGATCCGGTCTGCAAAAGAAATCCCTCCTCTCCTTTTTGGTCAAACTTCGTAACATAGGTTTAGAAATAATGATTTCTTATGCTAAATTTACCTACAATCTTAGAGACTGAACTCAGGCAAAATGTAGCCAGCCCACAATAACCAAGTTAAAACCAAACTCTGAGAAAAATGGTAAAACAAGTTTCATTTTTATTAGAATGTCATCTATTTGTTTTCTTTTTCATGGCCTGGAACTCACTATATAGACCAAGCTGCCTCATCGCTCTGATTGTCTAGTGCTGAGATTAAGGCTGTGTGTGCCACCATGTCCAACTGTTTTATTTTCAAATTGTTTAAAAAATATTGTTGTAGCCGGGCGGTGGTGGTGCACGCCTTTAGTCCCAGCACTCGGGAGGCAGAGCCAGGCGGATCTCTGTGAGTTCAAGGCCAGCCTGGGCTACCAAGTGAGTTCCAGGAAAGGCACAAAGCTGCACAGAGAAACCCTGTCTCGGGGGAAAAAAAAAATATTGTTGTAGCCAGGCATGGCTTTTGTCCCAGCACTGGGAAGGTAGAGGAGGTGAATCTCTGTGAGTTCAAGGTCAGCCTGGTCTACAAGGCAAGTTCCAGGACAGCCAAGGCTACACAAAGAAACACTGTCTCAAAA